TGTTACCATATGTAGGACTCAGCTAAACAAAATCCTGCTCTAGAATGCAGAGGGACGGGAGGAGAACCACTCTGTTTCCTTCCTGTCTCTAGTACACATGTGCCAATCTCTTCTCACACACATACCATGTGCAATCCCACGGGCAGGCACAGGAATTTGGCCCTAAAACCTTTTCTCTCCCAAGTTCACATTTACAGGGAAGAGGGGAGACAGGGTCAAGTGAGACCCTACCTGACTGGCTGAGGAAAAAGCAAACATCATCTCTGAAGACAGGGGTGTTTCTGTCCAAGAAGTCACTGGCCAGTTCCACCATAACAGGTAATTCAGTCAGTTCTTCCAGAACCTGGCGGGTCTGGGAAAAGGAGATGTAAGAAAGTGACATATTACATCATGTTTAAAAAATACCAAGTGTTTTGAGCACAAAAAAAGCCTTCTAGTTGCCACACACTGGAAAATATTACTGTCAAAATAGCCTGTGAAAACGAGGGCTGAGTCGTATTTTAATTACTCAGTATACCCACAGTCAAGCTGCACAACAACCCCTGTGCAAAGTGACCCTGCCCCTGGCACCACACAGAGCCTGCCTGTGAGGCCAACTCCTCCCTCACACATAGCCTGGTCTTAAGTAAGTCTCACTTACCTACTACTACCTATATATGATAAAATAGGGGGTGTCCTTCTATCAGACTATGACTGGTATTGCTGAAGAACTCTGAAACCACCAGCTGTATCCAGGCCAAGCCAGACACTTGTTCTGGCTGGTTGATGGATCACTGTTAACACTGTCTTACAGGGCTGGCAAAGCTGAACAAAAAGGTTCTTTTCTGGTCCTTGTAAAGCCATGAACATCCCTGTGTTTTGCAGCACTTCTGAGAGAAGCTCAAGGATTCCTCTGTGAAGCTGCAGAGTACTTTTAATTGCAGTACTATGGGCTGCCAAGCTTCACTTTGGAAAGGCTCCATCTACAGCCATCATGTTTTAACCAACCATGAGGTCAAATCCCACACTGGTGGTAGACACAGTCAGAACTGCTTCTGTCTGGTACAAAGTGAAACCTCTCCTCTGAGCTGGGTAAGCACAGAAATGTCTCTGAGCAGGCACCATCGCCGTCTCTGTAAATAGCAGAGGAGGAAATCCTCCCCTGCTGCAGCATTTGCAGCCTGCTCTTGTTTGTCTCCTCCCCTGCCAACTGTCTCCTACGACAGAGCAGATTTGGGGTTTTAAAGCCTTCCATAGCAATAAAGTCTTAGGCAACATTTTCTTAAGTAAATTCTTCAGCTATTATTTTCTGCTGCTGTTGCTGGGGAACTGAAAGCCTGGTGCATGCAGCTTTCAGAAGGGTCTCCACTCATCAGTGTGCACTTGCACAATCTTAACCTGAACCATAGAATGGTTTGGGTTGGAAAGAACCTTAAGATCATCCAGTTCCAACCCTCTGCCACAGGCAGGGACACCTCACACTATACTGTGTCACCCAAGGCTCTCTCCAACCTGGCCTTGAACACTCCCAGGGATGGGGCAGCCACAGCTTCTCTGGGCACCCTGTGCCAGCGCCTCAGCACCCTCACAGGGAAGAGCTTCTGCCTTATCTCCATCCTGAACTTGCCCTGTTTCAGTTTGAACCCATCACCCCTTGTCCTATCACTGCAGTCCCTGATGAATCGATCCTTAACCTGCTTGACACACACACCACTCTGCCCGGGGCTCAATTCCAGCTGCAGCTCAGGACTCACCGCAACCCCAGCGTGGTAACTTGTCCCACAGGCAATGAGGATTAAACGACGACACCTCTGAATCTCCTTGATGTGATCCTTCAACCCCCCAAGATTTACTGTAAGCAACATTCAGAAAGACAGTCAGGGTGGCCAGGTAGCAGGAATTCCCAAGCTGACACACAGAGTGTCACCATCCCCATCAACCACTTGGCAAAAAACATCCCCAAAAGTGATCTTGCCACCAGCAAGTGTAATTCTGGAAGCACTCCCTGTGAGACAGGCACTTCATCTTACACCAGCATGTTTTAATCATCTCCCATGTCATCACCCACTGCCTCCTCTGTAACTACTGTGAGTAACTCCTAGATACTGAGCCATAAATCTCACTTACCAGTGTAGTCATCAAAGTTGACCCTTCCTCTCATCGTATTAACGACAGATTCTGGCTGTTCAAATATTTCCTTCTGCATAAATGAGCTGAAGTTACCTATAAAAGAAAGAAAGAAACAAAATCTCCTGGTAATTTACATTTTTTCTGTGTACATAGGGAAAACCTTGAACCAGAGTCACTATCAGGCCAGGGGCCAGTCAGGAATTATTAAGCTGATGTTTCTTGTTCTTCCAAAGCATCAGCTCACTGTGAAAGCTAGACTGAAGTTACTAGAATGTGCCAGTCAAGGGTCAGATCTGGAATGGCAAGCCTGCTAGGGATCCATACTGGAAAAATGGATGCCTCCAAGCAGGAGGCAATGCTCTCTGCCCCACAATTCTCCTCTTTATGGTGTTAGCAGCTAGAACCACAGAATGGTTTGAGTTGGAAGCGACCTTAAAGATCATCTAGTTCCACCCCCCTGCCATGGCATAGAGTGCTGATTCATAATGAAGTCAAAGAAATGGATTGCTTTCCTCTTACTTTGGTATATGAAATAAACACAGCAATCTGTGCTTCAGTTTTCATCTTCTCTGCAAAAGGTGAGCCCTAAATCTCAATTACCAGTGTAGTCATCAAAGTTGACCCTTCCTCTCATCATATTAATGACAGATTCTGGCTGCAAGAGCTACCCTATCATTGGAAGTGTTCAAGGCCAAGTCCCAGCAGATGCAATAGAGGGAAGCTGCAGACAAAGTGAACTTTGTTCACCAGGAGGGTAATAAAGCACTGGAACAGGGGCTCAGCAGGCTGGGGGATTTCTGTCCTTGGCAATACCCCAAACCTGACTTAAACAAGTGCCGTTAACACTCTGACCTACTTGGCCCTGCTTTTAAACCATGGGCTCGCCAGGGAGATCTCCAGAGGCCTTTTCCAACCTGGCTCATTCTGTGACTCCAGGGAGGACCCGTGCATCTCCACAAGACTTTACCCTTCATAATCTGCTGAAGCTCCATCTGCAGGGTTTGGACAGCCCGTCCAGGGTGGTCGCCCGCCGTGCGCTTAATGCGGTGGATGGAAAGACGGCCGTCGACCACAGCAGCTACATCATCATCCTCCAGGAAAATCACTCTGTTGGTATGCTCAATGACAGCACTACAAAAGCACACACCATTTGCCATAAGACATCGTTTCTCACAGACAGATGGGGGCTACAGCCCTGTTTATAATCCAACATACAGCTTTTGAGGCAAGAAAGTTGCTCGCGTCAATGGAATTTCTGTTAAAAGAAGGTGGGTTCTGTAAAGTGCATTTCCACACTGCCAATATAACTGGATTTTTTCCACCTAACTCATTATTCTGCTTTAAGAAGAAACGAGGAATTCCTCAGACAAAGCAGCATGTGCAGCACTGGGATCTGACTGTTAGGAGGTAGCAAAAGCAGACAGGAACTTGCTCTAGCACACAGGGCTCGACTGCAGGCACAGGTTCCTTTCTTGCCTTCTGCAGTGAGAAGCCACTGTCCCCATCTGTAAAACTGGGGACAGCTCAGCCACCTCTGAAAGTCCTCAGAGATCAGTGTAGAAGCACCCCAAGGATGAGGTACACCTTTCCCTGCCCGAAGTTTACTTGGGGAATGTCAGCCAGGTTTTAAGCTGTGCTCTCTCACAGCTGATGAAGGCAAGCTGCTCTGAAACACATCACCTCCCTTGTTTAGTAACTTCTGCTCTGACCTTGGGCAAGTCACTGAAAAGCTCTTTAAAATCAGAACCCATTAGTGTGTCCTAAGACCCTCCAAAATGCGTTGAGAGGAGCTGCAGAAGTCACTCATGGCGGTGCTTTTACATTCCATGAACAAGCACTCATGTCCCCAGTACAGAGAAACCCAAAAGCTCTGGGAAGGGCTACCCAGTTAGGCTTCTCTCTCTCCACTGGGATTAAAATAAGCCACCCTTGATGCTAAAGGAATTGCACACATGAAGAGACCTGTGGAGAATCAGCACAATTCTCCTGACAATTCACATCTGGGCTGTTAATTCAGTCAGTGCTCTCTCAGGTTTCCTGTCACTCACCTCAGAAATGTTATCAACAGATGTGCTTGAAGAAGGGTAACACTATTCCACAGCGAGCATTCACCCCTTTAACAGAAACTCTCATCTAATCCTCCTCTGTCTCTCTCAGGGCCGTGGTAACTGGTTCATGTTTGTGAAGGAACAGCCCCATACACAGAGTTTATGTTATCCATAACAAAACCACAGCCACCCCATCTCCTGCTCAAGGCCTCAGCTTTAAACAGGGTACTTTTGCATACACTAAAAGGTTCTGCAACACATTACCTAGCATCAGAAGCAAAGTAGTACTCCACAGCTTTCTCCTCCACAGGGAAAAGGCAGGTGGTGCTGTCCACACGAGACAGGTTGCAACTTCCCTTCTTGTCCTTCCCTAGAAGACACAAGGGTCAGGGACCGCGCGCGCCGACACGCCGGAGCGCGGCCGCAGCATCAGTGTCACCACAAGCCCCACGAGTACCAACATGAAGCAGTATTTAACTGAACAGCCACGATGGGAGAGGGCAGCAGAGCAGCACCCGCCTTTACTGGGCCCCTTCCCAGTTGGCTTGCAAGGCTCTGGATGTGCTTTCGAATCCAGCCTGCAAGTGTAACGTTAGCAGGGAGTTTAAGTTGAGAGGAAAGTATGAGTAAAAGTTCAAATGAAAGCTCATGTGTAGCTCTGCTGGGAGAGGATTCAAGCTGCTTTATAAGCAATCACATTTCCTGATTGAATCTGCCCTGTTTTATCATTTTAAGTTTCTCCTGTGCTCCTGTTTCACTCACTTTCCTGAGGCTGTGGGAAATGGAGCAGGATTGCTCTTTCTTTGTCAGTTATCTCCCAAAGCTGCTGCTTGAGCAAGCACACGTTTCCACTGAGCACAGGTAACCCAAACTGAGTTTTGTCTAGTGGAGCTAATGCTTCCCAGCTCAGGAAATCCATGATTAAGCACCTGGTGTTGTTCCTGAGCTACCAAACACAACCACTGCTTTCTGATCCAACAACTGCACAGCTGGCAAACCGCTGTGAGTCCTACACTATTGCCAGGGGTGGAGATAGGTGGACACAGAACTGAGAGTCAGCTTAGGAGAAACCAGTACTAAGTCTTTAAAGAAGGGTTAGTGTTGAGCAGGGATCCTTTCTGAAGTATTCCAGCAATTCCCTCTAATCCTCCACCTCCTCTTTATATACTTTTTGGTTGCAAAACCCATCAGGAACACAGGTGAGGACCAGAAGACCTACTGCTCTGCACTCACCTTGGACAGAATGAGCTGGTTGTTGTGCAGGGCACGGGAAGAGGTGACAGGGACAGTGCAAAATGTGACGATTGCCAAAGAATAACAACACTCAAGTGACTATTATATTTATTCCTGAAGCCCTCATGTTGTGTTTCACCCACTGGACACCAATCTGATTCAGTGATGTAAGCAGAGCTAATGAGGTTTGGATTCATACTTCTGTAAATGAGAATGTAAAGAAAAACTACTGCTTTCATGTTGATACTCAGTAGGAAAGTTCCACTCAACCAAGAATTTAGAGCCCTGCAGTTCAGTAAATGAGGAAAATAGCTCCTTTGTTGTTGAGTTGAGGCAGGACAGGCTGATTTGGTGGGGAGAAAGGAGAGAGCAAAGGAGTTAGTGGCTGTTCTTCCCCAGCAGCACCCAGGCTTGATCAGAACATGCAGATTTGGTTCTCAAATTAGCACATTCCTCTGCATTGACTTTATTATGTTGCATTGCTTTCCTGTATTGTGGATTCTACCTGGAACGTATGGTTATTGTGCACATGCACTAGAAATACGTCTGACCAAGGAGGAGTTGAGAAGTTCCAGTGAGTATTATCAGCCAATTACAGTTATGTCACCCATGGGTTTGTCCACAGATTGTCCATTTCTCTACAGGCCACCTGGATTTTTGCTCTACAGCACCTACCTCCTATTTACTACAATTTAGAAGCAACACAGACTTAACCTTTCAATCTTTCCCTTTCAAATTAAAGGCTGGAGGAGACATCATGGAGAAGTCACACAGGTATGGTAAAAAATGGGTGAGGGAGCCTTAGTTTTTCAGAAAAGCCTCTGAAAGCTGAGGGACTTTGGTTCTTAAAGCTCCTGGGACTTGTGGTCAACCTGCCTTAATGCTTTACCCTGACTGAAGAGGGGAAAAAGAAACAAAGCCTCATGTAATGGATGCTGGAGAGGGACTCGTCCCAGGGACTGTAGTAACAGGACAAGGGGTGATGGGTTCAAAGTGAAACAGGGGAAGTTCAGGTTGGAGATAAGGCAGAAGTTCTTCCCTGCGAGGGTGCTGAGGTGCTAGAACAGGGTGCCCAGAAGCTGTGGCTGCCCCATCCCTGGCAGTGTTCGAGGCCAGGTTGGACACAGGGGCTTGGAGCAACCTGCTCTAGTGGAAGGTGTCCCTGCCCATGGCAGGGGGTTGGAACTGGACGATCCTAAGGTCCTGAACAGCCGGAGGTTTGTTTCTCCTCCAGCAACAGTGCACAGACTTCTCCTCCAAGCCCACAGACTGCCGAGGGGGACATTACAATTACTTATTAAACCAAGAATCAGATCCTTTCCTCCTCCAGAAGAGCACTCTCCTGCTTCCAATGTGAACTTGGTTCATCGCATCATACTTGTTGGGTTTAGCCTTTAAAGAAATTAAGTATTAAAGGTGCATTAAAAGTGGTTCACCCTGATAAATGAGCAAAGGGAGGGAAGTTCCAGCCTCAGGTCAACCTTACGGCTTCTTCTAGGAGGTGCAATTCACATTTAAAACAGGAGGGAGGATGTAGATTTGACAATGTGAACTCCAGAAGGAATCTCATTCCATGGAGTGGGAGACCTTTGAAGGTCCCTTCCAACCCAAACTATTCTATGATTCTATGATCATTAGCAGCCTCCTAACAGGGTTTCACTGTCTTAGGGGGAGAGGGTTTAAGGTAATTTACTCTTTCCTTCTGTAATCAGAGCAGCAGGGAGCACACAGCACGAGCTGCACCGAGGCATCAGTTGCGCACGTATGCCGAGAGTTGTGTGAGAAGATTTGAAATGGGATGGGTGGACTCATGGGTGGATTTTCCTGTGTGTTGCTCATCAATCAAGAAGAAATTCCCACTCATCTCACTGCATGGAAAGCAATAAGCACATAGTAAAGACACAATGCATATTTGTCTCATTTGTGATTCCTTTTCTAAGGAACTGGAGGGTTTGTCTGAAACTTGGAGTATTAAATTGTCTCTCGTAGGCACCTTCCTCCATTTTTATGGATATTCCATCAAAAGAATGATCCATAGATTGTACAGCTGAAAGTGTAATTGGGGAAAACAAAAACACAAAACACCAAACTTGAGATTATCAGTGCAAAAATAATTACATACATACATTGAGGATTACTGCTCAATATCCAACATCAACCCAGAGTAACCACAGCACAGCTTACTGGTGCCCAGAGAACCAGGCCAGTGACTGTATGGGTTCAGCCTTCTCTGACAACAATAAATTATGGGATCATTTAAAAGAGGAGGGAAAGGACAAGCAATTCTTAAGCCACTTTTCATTTTCAAGGGGGCACCCACGTGTCTACAGTGGTACCACACACATGTGAAAGATGGAGGGACAATGAGCTGTGGGTGCCACACGCAGGGCACCAGCACTCTGCTTGTTAAGAGTCACACTGGGGATAGGGGAAAGGTTTGTGACAGTGAAAAGTTGGCAAAGCACAGACATTTCTGGGCTTGAAAGCAGCCAGGCCTGTGAATGCCAACATGCCACACACAAAACATGAACCCTGGGCAGTGTTCAGTGTTCAAGGCCAGGCTGGACAGAGCCTTGGGCAACATGGTCTAGAGTGAGGTGTCCCTGTCTATGGCAGGGGATTGGCACTATATGATCTTAAGGTCCTTTCCAACCCAAATCATTCCATGAGCTAAGTTTAATAAAACTGTTAACTATCCTTTTACATTATATTCTATTCTACCTCATTAAGATGTGTTTTCCTTGCAACTACTCAACATTAAAGCTTTGATTATACAATAGAAACTAACTTGAGGTACACGGTGCTAAAACTGACTTTAAAAAACCCAAAATCTCTTTTTTGTACTGGTTTCATTTACAGATGAAAGTTTAAAAGTGTAAATATGTCTTCCAAGGATACAACTGCCCATGAAACCCTGAGCTCTCTGTGACTGAAGCCTGGTCCCAGGGATGCTCCCACTTACCTGTCCGGTAGAGGATGGGGATGTGGTCGGTGGAGAGCTTGTGCTCGCTGCGCACCCCGATGAGCAGGGGGCTGCCTCGCCTGCAGGAAGAGATGAAGTTACAGCCCAAAGTGCCTCAAGATTCATCCAGCCCAAAGGGACCACTGCTCTCCAGCACAGCACTAAACTGGGCTGAAGAAGAGCAAGTTCCTCCCGGGTGAGCTGTGGGTGCTGCCAACATGGGAGGCCACAAAAGAGAGTGAAAGAATCTCTGGATAAACACAAGGACATGAGGCATTGCCTCAAGTTTAGCTGAAACTCTGCAGGAGTAACCACAATCCCATGGACACCTGAATCAGGAACTGCTGCTCCCTGCAGGGATCTGCAGACAGCTCTTGGCACCGAAATTCAGTACCTGTGCTAGGTACATGTATGCTTAAACCAACCCAGCTGATGCTGAGATTTAGAAGTGGAGAACTAAACCTCAGCACCAGACTGGCCAAGTGTCAGGTCAAGCAGAGGAAGACTTGTCTGACCACTGCCACAATGGCCACCAAGAAAGATAAGGCAAAACCATCTCCTTTCAAATCTATCACAACCAGAGCCTACAAAACCAGCTATTCCAGAGCAGTTGTGATCATTTTGGGGAATTTTATGTTATGATAAATGGAAAACAAGAGAAAGGAAATGAAAAACAGCAGCCACCTGCACCCCAGCATATACAGCGATGAGAATCACCTCTACTCCTTTATCTTCTAACTTGGGGGGACAAAAGAGTGACATATGGGGTGCAACATGGATGTTCTTTCCCAAAGCAATACCTACCTGGTACCAACTGCTTGACCAGGATAATGAACACTTTTGAACACAAGGGCGAAAGCACCTTCCTGGAACAAGAGAAACACAAACTGTTCATCTCATCCTTACACAGGAAAAGATCAGGTAAAAACAGCACCAGAACTCTGGGGTGTGTGCTCAGGTGTGGTACCAATGACTATGGGTGAGCCACCACGATCTGCTGGCACAATACATTCCTGGTCTTTGCTACTACAGCTCCTGTGTGAGACCCCACTTGCAGTACTGCACAGTTCCAGTGTCTTCAGCATAAGAAGGACATGGAGATGCTGGAGCAAGTCCAGAGGAGGCCACGAGGATGCTCAGAGGCTGGAGCAGCTCCTGTGTGGAGACAGGCTGAGAACACTGAGGCTGTTCAGCCTGGAGAAGAGAAGCTGCTGGAGACCTCAGAGCACCTTCCAGGGTCTGCAGGGGG